ACTATCAAATGGCACTCCTCTCAGCGGCCACTTGTTTACAGGCGCACGGTAGTTTTGGATGCCCCCAGTCCCTTCCACCCACCCAGGTTTACCCCACCTTTTGAGCCACCCAAAGGTCGCAGGCCCTCTAGGTCTGGACGACCCCTATACTACCTCCGGATTCCGCCCTAATTCGGGTTGCCGGGGCTAGCAATGGTTAATTTATGGGGAACCTAGCGGGGTAGAAGGGGAGGGGTAGCGGTGCAGGGAAATTTGCGGAAACAAAGCATCCGCGTTGTCTGTGAGGCTACCTGTGAGACTGCCCATGAAGTGGCACTTCACAAGACACCCTTCAGATATGCAAAATCTTTGTCGCGCGGGATCCGCCTGCAAAAACTCCAATCCTTACAGTCTAAATCCTAAACTTCAAACCCTATAGTACTTTCCATTGTCTTTTCCATTATCCCAATATATCCCAAATAAAACCCCTTGTTTGGCAGGATTGGTCATCCAGCACGCTCTGACCCGCACTGTGAGCCACTGGGGCGGAGCCCAGCATGCTGCGCAAGGGTTTTCATGGGTTTAGGGTTTAGGGCGCACTTGTTTTCTGAAGCTTTGTTAAACATTGCGCATCATTGCACTCTGTTTCCAGCGAACCCTTAAACCTTAAACCCCGAATCCCAAACCCTAAACCTACCCTAGGGATCTACCCTAAATCCTAACCTCTGAGACCCTTTGGAAATTTCGCCTTGGGGTATAGAGTTGACAGGGTTCAGGGTTTATGGGCTAAGGTGTTGGGTTTAGGCTTCATATGGTTTCTGGTTTAGTGTTTAGGGTTTATAGGCTTTATATAGGGCTTCCAGCAATCGCCCACGTCGCGAAGATAGATTCACCTCGTTCCTTCGAAGACGGGATGTTCATCGATCGGTGCCTGACATTCTACAGCATGTGTCGGATGGACCGGCTTATTGTTAAGGGTATGGAGGAATGAAGAAAAACATGGAAGCTACTATGCTGCATCATTCTCGATAGTGTCGGTTCCCACTGTCTTTCCCATTCTGTGTCTTCTGGCTAGTAGGCTGCAAGTTGTGCATAGCATCTCTTGGTTGAAACATGGTAAGGAACAGATGACAATGGAGTTTAGGGTTCAGGGTTTAGGGTTGAGGGGGGTTCGCACCCAGACCGACGTGAAACTTGCCAAGGCGAAACAGACAACTTGCTCTTCACGACAATGACGCTGAACCCAGCTACTGAGCTGCTGTTCAGTTACCTTACTAGGGGAATATAGTATCGTATATAACAGGGTTTCCTCGCTAATGTTGACTTCATACCCCTACAATTCTAAAATCCCGGGCCCGGAACACAGTTACAACAGCCCCTAGATTTATAATATCCCCGCGGAATAGCATTTGTTTAGGGATAGATGTTCAGAGCTGCTTACTTGAAACTTCTGTCTGGAGAAGTTGTCAAACCTTGAAGTCTCAAAGGCTTAGATTTAGAGCTTGCTTACTGCTGGAACTGAACTGCATTTAGAGTTTGCTTGCTAAACCCTAAACCCTAAACTCTGTTTTGCAGAGGCATGAGCTCGCAGTAGAGGTCCTCCTCTTACTAATTATCCCCTACTACTCCCACTACGCCCACTTCTATTCTTCCTACTGTTGCTCCTCCTTCTACTTGAAATACTACTACTCCTAATCCTAATAACTTCTACTCCTACTACTCGTACTGTTACTTCTATTTCTATTTCTAATACTACTCCCGCTCCTACTCCTAATCCTTCTCATATTACTCTCACTCATACTCATACTAGAACTAATACTACATCGTAAACAGGATTCTCGCCGTTATTATTCAGGGGGCCCCCAAAACCTAGATTGATCAATCGAGGGGTGGGGAGGGGTGGGGGTCTTTTATTAATACAAAGTCAACATTATCCTATCCTTCAACAGTTATAAGCCCCAAACCCTAGATCCTTAACCCTATATACCCTTCATTATAGTATTCTACTTAGGTTCCTTAACAGCAACCCAGGCCAGGCTACATCTGGACTATGAGTCCGCCAAGGCCTGATGACAGCTTTCTTAGCTTGGTTTGACCCCTTGTGCCGCTAGGCAGGGAAAATCCCTGCAACCAGGTACCGACTTGCTATCAAGGAACTTACATTGAATTACTATAACTTTATTTACGTTCCTTAACAGCAAACCAGTGCAACCAATTAGTAGCCTCTGGTGTCTTACAAGTACGCGTATGGATTAGTCCGGTGTTTCCAGTGTTTCGGGATATGCTAGTGCGGTCACTGCCTCAGGCCACGCAGTTCGGGAAGCCTCTCGTGAACAGCATGTTCACGCTGGCGTTGCTGGTGGGGATGTCCGTCCTCGAAACAACGCACGGCACAACCATCGCCAATCTCGGATTTGAAGAGGTGCTGTTGACTCAACTTGCTGGTTGTTGGTTGAGATTGAAGGAATGGCATCACTGTGAGCACTCTTATGTCACTGAAGCCTGTGTAATTGAGGGATACTATAGGATCCGCTCCTTCGCTGCTCCTGTCTATGCGTGGCTGAACTTCGAGTCATGAAGTCATAGTAATAGTAACAGTCAAAGTGGTAGTAGTTAGTGGTGAAAGTACCACTGCTACTAGTCATAGCAATACCTGCCATACTGCCTTGGCAATTTGGGACTGACTTGTATCAAATAGGTTCTTCACAAGCCCTCATATTTAAACTTAAAACCCCAAAGCCAAACCAAGCGATTTTGCACAGGTGGTTTTCCCCAAGCCCGTCTTTTATGGGGACACGCTGAGGGCCGAGACTCAGGCGATTTCTGGGGCCTAGTGTTTAGGGTTCAGGGTTAGAGTTGATAAGCAAGATCGCGCATGACTCTAGGTATATCTTGCCGTCCGTGGGAGGAAATCTTGCGCCACTTAGCGTAACCAAAATTTTGTAAACACTGCAACGTAGAGAATACAAGGTGGCGCAAGATTTCCTCTCTCCACAGTAGTGCCACAATTCCTTATCCCCTACATAAATCCCTATATAACCCCAGCTGAGGAGTTGAGACTACAGCTCATACAGGGTAATGCAGAACATTGTCCATCAGGGCACGACTGGGTTCGCCGGGCTTGGGGCCCAACATGTACCTGTGGCTAGCAGGGAATGAAGGGTTTAGGGTATGGTAAAATTGTAGACTCCTCTAATGGAGAACTGAGTAGAACAGAAATCGAAGACAAAAAGAAATCATGGTTACACGGCCGTTTTACAGAGACATTAGAGGAGAAGGAAAACAGAATGGAAATTACTAAACCTTAAACCCTAAACCTTACACCCCAAACTCTGAACCCTAAACCCTATCAATTGGGATCATACAACGACTACCGTGAGAATCCCTTCCTTCTCTCCTTAGCCTAGGGTTTAGGGTTTTGGGCTTAGGGTTTAGGGGTTTAGGGCTTAGTGTTTAAGAGGCTTAGGGGGTTAGGCTTAGTGTTTTAGTGGTTTGGGGTCAGGGAGTTATGGGTTTAAACTCACAAGCCGTCACTGTCGAATGCACCAGGCCGCCATCCTCTTCTAATAGCGTTATGGCATGTACGCCTTCTAAGCTGGCAGCTGATTTTGCGGCATGCGTAACATGAGATCACTATCATGCCCTATCTAATCCGTATAATAACGCCTGTTCCGGTTGATGTTCCATTTCTTTCCATTCTATTCCCCATACTGGGGGTTAAATCCCTAACCCCCATATGATCCCATATGATAATACCAACAATATCGTAATCAGTTATAACAGTCGTTAAATAACAAAAACAATGTAGTAGTTCCGTGTTCTTTTCCAGCCCAGTAAGCTTGCATACCCTAACCTCTAGACCCTAGACTGCATTCGCGCGCCGACCCGGCCCGTGTCCTGGGTCCTGATGGTTTTCCAAGGAGCCATGGGAGCTATGGTCTAAACTCCTTAAAGGGGGGGGCTATACAGGGGATTATATAGGGGTTTACAGTTCAGGGTCTGATTAAATTCTTTTAAGGGGGATTATAGAGGAGCATTACGGGGGCAATTAAGGGGGATACTTGGAGTTTACACTGCAGCTCATGAAGCCTTTCGTTTTGCCAGCCCTTGTGAAATCCATCTAGGGTGCACTATACGATGAAGACATGACATGTATTTTGAAGTAAGACCCCAAACCCTAAACCTAAAACCCTAAACCTCCACAGAGCAGGTGATCCAGAATCGTCCGAGCTCCTCCAACCCATCTCGTGGCATCGTCACTTTTGAGCACCGNNGCGCCTTCAACCAGAACGGCCAGGCAGACATCTCCAGCTGTGGTAAGACAGCGGTAGGTTTGAAATGATGAAATGACTCTTAATCTCATTGCCCTTACCCCTGCATAATTCCTACAAAGACAGAAGAAGTTAAGTGCGATGGGGCTCCCATACCTACCCTAGAAAAAGAGTAAATAGGATTTTTGTCTTGACATACACAGGTAGGTATTTACAGGGTTCCAAAGGTCAGAGTTCCTTGTGAGGAGTGCTTATCGTAAGGATCATGGTATACTGGGACCTGCAATTGGGCATCCCCGTTTTATGGGAAACCCAGATAGTTCAATGAGGTTATAAACCCTGAACCCTAAACCCTAAACCGCGTGGCGGGAATCAGTTGAGACTGCTCGCAGGTGGTGTGCAAAGCTCGGCGCAACGCAATGATGCGCAAGCGTCCTTCCAACCTTTGACCTTGGAAGCAAGCTTAAAACCGAGGAGTTTCCAGCAATCAGGGTCCCCTTACAACACACTAAATACATTCGTATTTCGGTCCCTATTATAAGGACCTTCTCAAAGGGACCCCCAATTTCCGGAAACCCCATCTAGGTCTTGTGAGGTGCAGGGTTTGTCTCACATCCTGCATGGTGACCTGTGTCAACACATGCCGAGTCAAGATTTTGCTTTTGAGGACTTCTCTGAGGACACCAACCCATTGTCCAATGACAGCTTTGACAAAGAAAGCGCAAGTAGCTGGGTAGGTATTTATCAAACTTCTTGGCATCTGTATGATCCTAATGCGGTGAGACCACGTTTAGCTTTCCGCGGGCCAGGAAATGGATACTAAAGATCTTGCATGACCCTAAATAGTTTGTACCTTAGGAATTCTGTCAACATACTTCAATACGGTTATGAGTTTTGTTACAAAGTATAACCTCTCGTCATATTACAAGCATCAGGCAGCTTGAAGCATCTATCTCGCGAACTCCTGGGTCATCATTCCGTTTGTATTAATCAGGAACATGAAGTTACGTTAGCCAGTATGGATATGTAGTAGATAATGGGTTTCCTCCGTATAAGGACTTAGATTAAGTTCCTTAACAGCAAAGCCTTAAAAGGCGGTCCACAGTGCCCATAACCCTGCAACCTGACGAGCATTCCGCCGCCTGTGCTCAGCGCATGGCTGCTGTGGTGAGCGGATAGACGGAACCGCAAGGGACGAGAGCAAAAACAACAGCGAGGCTACCTTGTCTGCGTCAGAGCATGCATCATGGATGGGTTTCGAATGGTATCTTAATTTCATCAAGCATCAGCTGCATGGACTACATCCACCATGAGCTCTATTGAGAGATGCACTCTCTGGCATGTTTCTTGAGGCTACGCAATGATGAGCAACCTTTCAGTAATGTGTGTGCGTGTGTCTCGGTTCCTTGACATGTCAGACTGCTTGGCTCTCACAGCTTAACAACACCCCAAAGGGTTTGACCGCTTCAGAAGCCCCAAACAACGCAGACCTGCCTATGGGCGTTTTGTTGTTGTGATTATTCTTGCTTTTATGACTTTTCTTCCTCTCAGTGCGTTCATTTTTCTTACAAATGTCACTCTTAATCTGATTGCTATCATTTGTTCTTTTGTTATTCCTACTGTTTCGATTGCCAGTAGTGCAAGTACTGCCACTATCATTTTCGTTACCATACCCTAAACCCTAAACCCATGAGTCTTGTTGCCGGCCCAGGTCCCAGGACTCTGCGACAATTCCCTTCTCAGAGCAGTCGGAGTGAGGCTCTCAGGTTTCATAGCAGTTCCTACTACGAAGACTGGTAACACTCGTAAAGTTATGACCGTAGCAATGGTAATAGCATAGCCATCGTAAGAAAAAAGAAAGTAGTAAGCTGCTTCTGAGTCAAAGAATCAAGTTTGCATGAGCCAGCAGGGTGCCAAGACTAACACGCAAACTCCCCGCGCGTCTTAAATCCTAGGCCTCAGGGCATGGGCCAAACGGAGCCTACATCCTAAACCCCGAACTTAAACCCTGCGCCCTAAACCCTGAACCTAAACCCATGTGAGATTGCCAAGGCAACGGCTTGGTCAGGAGCGCGTAGAGGCAAGTGCTCGGGGGGATGGGGCGTTGGGGTTGAGGGTGTAGGGCTTACGCTGTAAACCTTTGACCTACTTTTTTGCGGGTTTTACACGGCGGAAAACCATGTTTTCAGCAGACTCAAACCAAAAACCTGGCAGTTTCAGAAAAAGAAAAACAGGTTTTCCAATTTTGAACCCAAAACAAACTTACCAAACACGTAAAAACGTACGGTTGGGAAAACCGTGTAATTTTTCGATTGCCGTGTTGTTTTGAGCCACCTTAAAAAAGACGGTAATGGGTGTAGCAGGTAGGGTTTAGAGTTTAGGTTTTAGGGGTTAGGAAACATTCACAAAGAGGTTCCCGCCCAGCTACTTTTGGGCCTAAGAATATACTACATAGCTGCTACATTGACCCTTCGGGATAAAGGCCGGGAAGCCTGCCGTCATTCAAAAACGCACCAATAGAACAATAGACATATTAGTACAGCTGATAGTACTAAGCCCTAAACTCTGAACCCTAAACCTGATAGCATGCACAGCAAAAAAAGCATATTGTTAGACAATGAGAGGCTACAGGGTTTAGGGCTTAGGGTCGTCAAGCGATGCAGTGCTACCTGGTGTGGAAAGGGTTTTCGGTTCAGGGTCAGCTGATCCTGGTTCAGAGTCTGGGTTCAAAAAGGATTTTTGGTTTTGGGTTTAGGGATTTACGGTGTAGGGCTTAGTAAAGACCAGCAGTGGTAAGTGGTAAGTAGGAGTTTCCCGAAATTGAGAGCTCCCAAAATCAGGACGATCATATTTGGTGGTCTATGTTCTGGTCGCCCTGTTTATGGAAACTAGCAAATAGGAAGCCAGACCCTTAAACTGTTTGGGCTTCGGGTTTAGGACTTTAAACTGTTGAGATTTTGGAAATCAGTTCTGTTTTTGGGAACCCCAAGCCCTTACAGCAAGGACTTAGGAAGGGTCATGCCATGGTCGTTGGCTCCTATGAGCGTTGGGGTTACCAAAATCCTCTTCTGGATCACCCTAGTCGTGGCTATTCATAAGCTGGCAAAACTTTCCATAGGGGTCATGACGCTCAAAACCTGGACCTAGAGAGTAGAAAGTGGGGTTTCTCAAAATTAGGGGTACCTTTTTTTGGGATCCCTATAATAAGATTATAGTATTTAGTGGCCTATATTGGGATCCCCTTGTTTTGGGAAACTACCAAATATCCAGAATCCACAGCATCAGAAGAGTAGGGCAGAAGGCCTCGCAGCTTGAGCTTTTGTTGTTGGACATTTTTTATGAAAGCCCCACCCCCAAAAAATCCTAAACCCTAAGCCCTAAACAAATGTACACCTAGAATTTGCAAGAACATCATGATCCACTCCGGCTCCTTAAAAACCCAAACCTTTCCGTGTGAGCCATAATCTAAACTCCTTAACGGGTTATATGGGGAGTAGTATAGGGCTTATCAGGGGTCATGCTAGGAGTTTAGGCTATAGCTCCTATGGTGGGATATTTTGTTGCTGAGGATGTTTAGGGGGCAGTCGTTGCTATGGGGAGGTGACTGACCCTAAACCCTAAAGTCTGAGCATCATCAGGCCCAGTGGATACCATGGCCCCCTGTGCCCGCGCTACCAGGATCGGACTGCAAGGCACTCTGGGGTTAGACTGTAGTGGGAGGCCTCAGGATTTTTAGAAAGGTTATTCTAGTATAGCCCTAATGACTTTTCATTCTAGGTCCAGGGGGATTTCAGTCAAGGTCAGGAACATGTTTGAGTGTTCAGGGTTAAAGGCCTACGGCCTAGGGTTTGAGGTCTGAATCATCCTTTATTTTAGCCCCCCTCTAAGGGATTGTGTTGTTATCTCAATTACAGGTAGTGTTCTGGTCCAGATATTACTGGTTACTAAACCCTAAACCCTAAACTCTAAAACCCAAACCAATGGCCCAGCTATAAGTGGTTACTACGTCCCATGAACCCCAAAGTAGGGTGGGGTTTAGAGCTTCGGGCTCGATTAGGGTATTTCATATGAGCTACTGTGAACATTGGCTTATTAAGGGGACCCCCGCCCAGCAAACATGTGAAAGCCAAGCCTGCCCAAACCCTCCTGAGGCTCGGGAGAAATGTGCCAACAATTGCTACCTGACAAGGTTTTTTAGGTTTGGAAGGTCTTGTTCTGTCCAGTTTAATTGAAAACGATCCAAACTGGAGCCCAAATTGTGCTGATGATGCTCCTGTACGAGCGCGCGCTTACATTGTACGCCAGCATCAACAGTAAAATTGGGGCCCCATTTTCGTTTAATTGGGACCAGGAAGGGTCGACAACCCAAGAAAGTCCGTCAAAAACGGCTTGGAACATGGTTCTCTGCGCATGCTGACCATGTTTTAGTCCACAAATACATTTTATCACAATCAGAGGCAACATTTTAACGTCTTTGAGAAGCTATGAGTGGTGAAAAACCATAGCTTAGGAGCCACAAAGTGCTGGAAACCCAAAACATCAAAATCCCATGCAGTACGCACGGTTCATAGGGTCTGGTCTGGGCAATGCATGCAAAACCTTTCGCATGCTTGTGATGAAGCCATGATGCCAGCAACATTGGTATTTACAGCCACAGACACTGCCCACTACACGTATTTTGAACGTTTGGTTAGGGTTCAGTACTGCTCCCCCTCAGTAACAGTTGGATAATATTCATAATATGGTTATATAAAGCCCTTAATAGGACCCCTAGTATAGACTGTTACTGGGTGGGGGCAGTACCCAAGGTTAGGGTTTCTAGCATGCATGCTCAGGTCCCAGCAGCCCCTCAAAAGCCAGCATCATGAGCATCCTGGGGCCTGTTTGGGCCTTCAATTTCCTCTTGACACCACACATATGAGCTGTAGTCTAAAGTCCTTAAAGGGGGGGTATATAGGCGATTATATAGGGGAGTACTATAGGGATTATTGAGGGGGATACTAGGAGTTTAGACTATAGCTCATATGAGGTTGCAACACCCTTCCAAAACCCTAGTCATGTTGAAGTGTCCGAAAGTGAGAAACGAATGCCCAATTGTATGGATGATGCTGGCCCGAGCAATTGCCCCAACCGCCACCTAGCAGGGGGGAAGCCCAAAAATCACTTTAATTTTCGATCGCCAAAAAACACGGATCAGGGCTTCCAAGGGGGTGGAGGGTCGGGGGGCCGGGGCTCACCCCCATAAAGCATAGCCTTGGCAAGGCGTGCATCTGCACTGGACCACGACGGCCAGACCGGACTTTAAGAGCCTCCGGCTCAGTCCGCCGACCCAGAGGCGGAGAAGTCGCGAACGCAACGACAGCGTTTACCCTCAATCCTAACACTATAAACCTAAAGCCTAAAACCCTAAGCCTTGATGTTTTCAGTGGCTGGGCTCGAGACCAATTGGCGCAAACGAGAAAAGCTGAAGCCTCCACAGGACCTTGGGCGCCTGCTGTTTGGTGTGTATGATGTTGCTGCTAAGGTGCTGCAGCGTGGCTGATAACGACTATGAGGCAGTCTGGCCCCGTGTAGGAAATCTTCAATCGATTGCGCGACCAAAATTCACACGAGCATACCTAAAAGTAGGCTAAAATTAATATGATGGAACGTCTATTGCTTGCTTAGAGGGTATTCGGCTCCCTTGGCCTTTATCACGGGCCACCGAAGGTCTCAAACAAATCAAAGCAGCACGCAGACGAGTCGTGCAACCCGATGCTAGTCCGGAATCATCCTTGATGATGATGATGATGATCATGATGATGATGTGAGAAGGTTGTTTACATTCATGATTGTAGAAGATTCCCTAAACCCTAAACCGCGTGGAATCCTCTAAGTTTTGGGGATACACTGCTCAAGTACTGCTATTGGTACATAAGTTGGACTGGAACATGGCAGGCTCGAAAAGCCAGTGTTCAGCTCTCCGAAGAGCATGCCTGGCTGCACTTCTCATCTGCCTTCATGAGGAACATGAAGTAAGTATATAGAGTCCATGTTCTGTTCCATACCTTTTTTCCCTCCTACCATTTAGCAGGCCAATCTCATTGCTTAGTGGTTGTGAGGAAGAAGGGAATAAAATCGCTATCTAACCGCTATATCACATATTCCTTTATTCCATACTAAGAACCAGTAAGCAATGGGGTGTTGGGGAAAGACCTGACTTGACATTACTTCGTGAGTGCCGTGCCGGGCTTATATACTTGCAAGGTAAGTGGTGGATTTTGGTAACCCCAATATCTAACTATCATATGATCAGTTATCGCATGGATCGCATGGTCTAAGTGTGGGGGTTAGGGTGTTTTCTAAGTTTTCTTATTCGAGGCGGTACATTTTTTTGCGTTAGCGGTAAAGCGTGATTTGTGCAGCTAAGGATACGTGTTCCCCTGTTATAGACTGATATTATAGCATCTACTTCAACTTTTTAGGCCTTAAACCCTACACGCTTTAGGAACACCATCCTTTGGAGGGGTTGGGGGATATCTCGTCTGGGGAGGAATGACTGTTGACTTGGGGTGCTGGGAGCCGGCGGTTGTCATACATGCGCATGCTGGGGACTCTTAACCCTTTGGACCCTTAGAGCCCTCAAACCCTTAAACCATCTTAAACCTCGAACCTTTAAACCCCAAATCCTAGGCCAAGATCCCAAACGCTAAATTAAACCGTCCCTTAGAGCCCTCAGACCCGTAAACCCAAAACCTTTAAACCCCAAACCCTAGACCTAAATAACAAACCCTTAAACCCCAAACCCTAGCCTTAAATCACAAACTCTAGACTCAACCGTTTCTGCTTGCTGCTTGCCTTGCCTGCACCAAGGGAGGAGAGCATTGTCGGAGCATACCTAGTGCTGTCTCACGACATGTAGCAGAAAAACAAGATGCCCGCTTGGGGACCGTACATAAAATCGCTACATACTCTGTATATAATCCCTATACGTGCCTATACCGCCTTTTTACACAGCCTAGTTGATGATCGAGGAATATATAGGAGACTATTTTAGCTTAAAACTTTTGAGGTGGATATTAGGAGTTTAGACTCAAAACTCTAAATCCTGGATTATCGGACTCATTGAGGGGGATAATATTAGTTTATAAAGTAGAGCTGACAAGAGCAATGTCGCCTCCACGCCTCGAACGGGGGTGTTCCGAGTTCCTTTCGCAGTCTGTGCGCCTGAACAACCTCGAGTTTCTTTCTGGGGGAGCATAATAACACTACTACTTGTGTGCACATATATGTATATATATATATGACATAGGGTTAAAACGGCTTAGGCCCTAGCAGGGAACATGAGAGTATGTTCAATAGGGACTAGATTCCGCTTGTTCCCTCCTAACCACCAGTAAGGTTTTTGAGAGTTCCATCACGGGATACGGTGGTCCAGGAGCTTCTGCAGGAGTATGGCCTGGAGCCTTCCTTTCCTCCCGAAGTTGAGATGGAAGCTGAAGATCTCTCCAGGTCCTACAGAATATACAATAGTAGTTTCCATTTTCTTTTCCTTCATCTCAACTAACCCCCAATATAGTACTTTCCATTTCCTTTCCAATTATCCCAATATAACCCAAATATACTGTAGTACTTTCCATTTTTTCCATTATCCAAGTATAACCCCAATATACTATAGTAGTTTCCTGAAGATCTCTCCAGGCCCTACAGGAGCGGTTTAGACGATCCTGGACTGGAAGATCGTACGTCCTGGCCGTATGTAACCATCGACGGCCCATACACTCGGGATTTGGACCAGGCAATTTTTATCAAGCCGCTGGGTGAGGGATACTTAGTGTCTTATGCTCTCGCAGATGGTTGCTTCTACATGCCCCAGCACAGCCCGCTTTTCAAGCAGGCGCTGGAACGCCGCGGTGGCTCCAGTTTCTATTTGCCACGGTGCTGCGTTCCCATGCTCCCGCGTGTGCTTTCTGAAGATGCCATGTCGCTCAATGAACGTGTGGTCCGCAGAGCGCTTTGCATGGAAATGGAGTTGGATGCTCAGGGAAAGGTCACTTGCACACGGGCAGTGAGAGGTAAGATTTACAGCCATGCCAAGCTCACATTTCAGGGCGTGGAGAATTTCTTGAACAACAAACCTCCCCATTGCCATGATTTTGCACATGCGCCCTTCGCTGAGACGTTGCTGCTCCTACGGACGGTTGGGAATCTGCGCCGTGCGCTGGCCCGGGAGCGGAATGTGGTGGAGTACAAGCGGCACCGCAATGATGTCAGCATCGACGAGGATGGTTCCATCATGGTGGTAAGGGAGGAGCAGCTCCGAACAGAGCTTTACAATGAGCAGATTTCCCTGATGGTGAATATCGAGGGGGCCGAGCTGCTAAAAAGGTACTCATCAGAGGCCCAGAATCCCTAAACCCTAGAGTAGTGTCCAGTTTGTTTTTTATTATCCCAATATTGCCCTATATATCACCCTATATTGGGGTTATGTTGGGACAATGGAAAATATAATGGAAACTGCAGGGATTA